CCAGCAAAAATCATGGACTGTGTCAACCCGCTTTCTCCCAACCTCAATGAACTACTTTTCAACGTCCAACTACTCTACACTCAAGAATTACACATGGTGCATGTTCATGCTATCAAACTAAAGAATCCCCTACCTCCGCCCCCCTCTCAACCTGTACCACCAAGCACCCCACGCTCCCTACCCTTCAGTCCCTCACATCACCACTCCCTTCCCGATATCCCATCTTCCTCCTCTACTCAAATTCCCCAAGCCACCATTGAAGCCTTTCAACAACCTAAGGAACAAATGGCTGCCAAGATGAAGGAAAGTTGACTCTCCATCGAGCAGTTGAAGAACCATCTCATTGAGAGACAAGAGGAGAATTCAAGCCTCAACCAACTCCACCAGAAACTTTAATCTGAGATGAACGGGATCCAATGGGAACTGAACGGAAAGTCGCAACGTGCTTACAACGAGCTCACCGCATGGAAGGTACCGTTCACATCCCCCTGCTACTACTCGCAGATCGATGCTTACATTCGTTTCCTCGTAATCAATATAATTACTCATATTATCCGATTGGCAAAGCTTTCGCTGCAGACTTTTGCGCAAAAGTGGCCTCAGTAGCCAGAAACTGTGTTGAACCTCTCATCACGAAGCCTGTAAAGAAGATACTAAACAAGTCATTGAGACAAACTATGGATAAGGTCATCCCTATCGTCAAGGCTGAATATAACTATTGCATCAGCCTCGTTAAACGTGACGCTCACAGGTAAGCAAAGGCCCGTCGCCCGATTATTACTACTATCGCCCCCGGACTGTCAATAGGTCCACGCCGTTTCCGTTGAGGGGCTTATCCAAATATCTTGTTTATGATGCAAATTGAAAATCCTGAAATCCGAATATTCATTATATCGAAAAATGGACGAGCAATTCAAGACCGAAGATGGCAAGAGATCGTCATCCAAGCGCCACTTTGAAGACGACAAGGACAGAGCCTATGACTACTATAGAGCAAACAAAAAGTCGCTCTCAGGCTACGACAACAAGCACTTGGAGCAATCTCGAACCGCACCGGACGAGTCCGCAAGAATCACTCAATAACCCTCTGTCGTTTCCCATCCTCTTCATTCCAACCATTCTCTCGAATCTCCAAAACCCACCAGCAAACTCCGACCTTCGCTTCGCTACTTTCGCACTTGAGGAACATTCATCATGGTTGAGGCACCCCGATAACTTATTTGCTGCCTCCCCTTCAAAGCACTTTTCCAATTGGTCTCTCCTTCTCTCATCCTCTTCTAGAAGATATTCCCACTCAGTGCATCAATGAATCCATCACGGTATCAGACTTCAGTTCAAAGACACCTCTCACATTCCAACCCTCAAAATCATAGAAGTAAGAAGAATGGTAAAAACTGCCCTTCCCGCTTCCCGCTTTAAGCAATTCCTCAAACTCAAGTCTCCTTCACCTCTTAACATACCCAACCACATTATCACCCCCCACCACAATAAATCCATTTCCACAACAATCTCACAACTCCTCTCAACGAAAGTCATAGAACCTTCTCAGCATCCCTTAGTAATCAACCCTGTCAGACTCTTCGCAACAGAAAGTTCCTCGACAACCCGCTTTATCTTAGACGTTCACTTCGTCAACCTTTTCCTCACCTTTCCATCCGTCCATTACGAATCAATAGATGACGTCCCTGCTCACCTATCTGGCTCTCCAACACAAGACTTTCTAACTTGTTTCAACATAAAAAAATGACTACTATTACATCCCAGTCTATCCAACCTCTCGCCCGTACTTAGCCTTCAACTGGAATGGTAAAAACTACCAATTTACAACTTTATGCTTCGACATTTCCTTTGTCCGTTGGATTTTCACAACTGTAATGCAAGAAATCATGGATGAACTTTGAACTCGCAACGTTTTTGTCTCATCCTACATAGAGGACTCAACACTCGCCAATAAAAGTCTCCCTCTTCTTCTATGACAATCCTTCAACTATGTGGCCTTACTCCACAACCTAGGTTTCTTTCTCAGCTCTCATAAATGTTCTTTCCGTCCATCTCAATCCATTCGTTTTCTCGGATTCACACTAGATTCTCACTGTAAACGAATAAGGGTTCCAGAAGATAAGATACAAAAGATACTTAATGTCATCCAAACCTCCTCAAACCCTCTAGCAGATCTATCGCCAAACTCGCAAAAAAACTTGTTTCCCTTTCAAAAGTCTTCATGTCCACCCACCTTTACTTTTCGTCCCTCTACGAAGCCATCTCACCTGCTAATTGGGACTCCCCCATCACCACCTCACACAATCTCGTCCAGAATCTTATCTGGTGGATCTCTCACCTTCCTCACCTACCGGGCAGACTCAGGACCATTCGCCCGACATCTCTCACCATATTTACCGATGCCTCGACAATACAGATCGTCGCAATCATACACCCCCTCAACAAACACCCTATCACACTCAACCAGTGCCTACCGCAATCATTGCTCAAAACCTCTTCTACACACAGAGAACTCTTCGCAGTACTTGAAACATTCCGTTTTCTCGCTTCAGCTCATCTGCTACTCCTTTCCTCTGTCTCGCCTCCATCTTACTTCTTTTCGACTCACTACTCAGCCCTGTCTGCATACTTCGAACACTAAATACAACCGCTGATTCGATCCCCAAAACAAAAGACAACACCGATTGGGGATTAGCAAGTCGCATTAAGATTGAAATCTTCTCCTCACTAGGCATACCACTTATTGACCAATGACCTCTTTGCATCAGATTATCATTACACGTGCTCGATCTTCGTCTCAAGAACCTGGTCAAGCAAAGCATCCCAAATAGACACACTCTTGCTAGACTGAAACTTGTTGTCATCCCTCCCCTACCGATGGATCTTCCTGCCTACATCACTATTACACCACACTCTCTCCAAAGCACTCGCCAGTCCATCTTCTTACCTTCTCATACTCCCCTCCTCGCAACGCACTTCCTGGTACCCTCGCATACTCTCGCTGAACATCACGCACCGCTTCCCCATCCCTAAATTCAGATTCCCCTGTCTTCCCAGCCCTAGAGTTCATTTCAGCACCCCCAATCCTACAATCCTGGGCCTCACAACAATCTTCTTTTCTACTTAATACATTTTCCTCACCCTTTCTCTTCCAATCACGACGAATCCCGTAACCATATCTCATAAACGTCCCAACACTACTCCACGTCCCCTGTTGCATCATCTCTCCCAGACTCCAACTATCCTCTATCCCCGCCTGAACCTCCTCCATTTGGAAACTATGACCATTCTCCCCCTCATATACATCTGCCTCTTCAAACCATTTCTCTATGTGTTTATCAATACCACCATCACTCACAGGACCATCACCACGCATAGACCGAAACAATTTTCCCCTTCTTATATCCTGCCCCAGCCGATCATAACTGTGTACCAACTCAGGAAGTCACCCCAAGAAGGTCTCATCCCCATCGTGCGGATCCCGTAATCTTATCATAAACCTCCCATCATGACGATCAGTTTTAGTATACCCCGGCCTCACAACCCTTTGTTCAATATCAATCTCCTTATATTGAAGTCTCAATCCCTCACCAGAACGCTGCCAACTCTCCCATAAATACAAAAATGCCCCACCATCGCGATAAGCTTGAGCCTCCAGATAACCTTTCAACACCTTCACTTTCTCTCGAATATACTCTACCACCCTCTTCAACTTCGACCATCTCAACGGACGTGCGGATTCTTTGACCACACCCCTCTGCAAGGAGTACTCCCGATAAGCCTTTCGGAAAGCCCGTACCCTGCTACTCTGGCAAGGATCGTGTTCGCCATCCCTCCTGAGCAACCGAAAGCAAGCACTCAAGCAATTGATAACACCATTTACGGTGGAAGGTGATACAAGCGGCAAGCCTTCATCGTCTGAAGTCCGACATCGACCCTCTATCTCAACAAGCCACTGGTTGCTGACGAACGACAACATATCCAAGTCAATACAGGTCATGCAGTCCCTCCCAACATTGTTGCGCTCCAACCATTCATTCAAAGTCATAAGAAGTTTCTTCATTCCACCTCTCCATCGCCGGCCAGCCCCATATTCGCCAACCAAGATGCTGCTCCACTCAAGCCCAGCCTTGTATCCACCTTCGAACTCAGGAGTGCCATGCTTCTGTCTCCAGCCGCCATCGCTCAGTCATTTGTGCCACCATTCCCTGCAAGACGACGATGTCACTTGGCGGACGATGGAGGGAGTTGGGCGCTACAGGAGGTGTGCGGGCCTGCGGCCCACTTTCTTGACTCACTTCTGTGCGATCTGGCAGCATCAAGGGACTCTGTATTTCTTTTTTTATCTGAAAGAGACCTGTGCAGTATTGGACTAGAAGGCTTGAACAATCATCCTCAAGTATGCAGGCCCGCAAAGAACCACTAGAACCAAGAACATCTGGCAAATATCCCACAGCCCAAACCCAACATACAACAGCCATGGACTTGCCCCTGGGTGGTGCGCAAGCAGTGTCTTGTAATAGCTTACCTGCATCAACCCAGCAGAGTGTCCAGCCGTGCGTCATTCTAACGCCCTGCCCGTGTCCATGAGCAAGGTTGCGGAGTTTTGAGCCCGCAACGTCATACCACAATGCGTATTTCCAACCGGTGCTATAACCGGTTTCATACATCCGGAACCAGTGTCATCTGATGTATCAACCCACGATAACCGCACGGAAGGAACTGGGCTGTTTGAGCTGCTTGCAATTGCGGTCGCTGTCATTGGCATAATATGCAGAAGACCTGTCGGGACGGCTGTGAACAAAAAAGCAAAAGGTAGAAAAATTGGTGAGGTCCCAAAAAAAAAAAGAAAAGAAAAAAAAAAATTGGTGAGGCGTGAGGAACCGTAACGTTGTTTGAAAGCAAAAAAAAAAACAAAAAAAACGTGCGTTGCGCCGCGGCCCACAGGCGGCCACGGCAGAGCCATCGCGCTTTCGTGATGGCCGGCGCTCGGCGGAACGGAGGGGTCTGGTGGACCGCAGGTGGCTCGTCCATGCAGGGCGGTCATCCGCCTGACGCGTCAGTCGTCGATGGTCAAGACGAGGGATAGACAGGATTGTTGGCAGACGTGGCGAGGGGCGGGCAGAGGTTGGGAGGGGGAATCGAGAAGGCGGAGGGTGGGGAAAGGGTGTGGGAGGGCGGGATGAAGGAAGTCGGGGAGCGGGAAGAGGAGGGGGGGGGGGGAGCAGATACGGTATAAAGGACGCTGCCAAGGTTGGGCTTTCGTAGGCGGTGCGCAGGTTGCGATGGCGCACCACGGATTGGCTCGCCCGGGGGGAGCGGGGAGCGTGGAGCGTGGAGCGTAGGAGAAGGGTGCGTGAAGAAGAAGTGCACGATC